AAACAGTTAATACATGCTTTACAGACCTTAATGTAATAAAAATAGAAGTTGGCTCTGAGACCCTAAATTAAAGATACAGACCCAAATGGAGACTTAACAGTGAAATTTCAAGTAATGAAGGGGTAAAACAACAAATCATAGAAACAAATAGCAACTATGAAAAAAAATAATGATGACGAAACAACATACCAAAACTTCTAGGATGCAGCCAATGCAATCTTTAGGGAAGGGGGGGATCATAAAATTAAAATCATGTATTAACAAAATGAGAAAAAAACTAACAAATAAACACCTCTCAAAGAACTGAAAGTACTCACAACTACATGAAAAATGTTTCAAATCATTAATAACAGGAGAAATGCAAATCAAAATGACCCTGAGGTTTCACTTTATATCCTGAAAATTGGCAACAATGACAAAAAAAAAATGAGCCTCAGTCAACGTTTGAGGGGTTGTGGAAAGTAGAGAGACTAATACATTGTTGGAGAAGCTTTGAAATGGAACAAAGACAATTTGGAATTATGCAAACAAGTGATTAAAATATCTGTAGCTTTTGAACAAGAGGCTCCATTACTAGACATTTGTTCCAAGGAAGTCATTGATAAGAAAGAAGTCTTCATATACAAAAAATATTTATAGCAGAAATTTTTGTGATAGCTAAAAACTGGAAACAAAATAGACGCCCATTGTTTGCAGAATGGCTAAACAAATTGTGGTACATGAATGTAATATAATATTACTGTGATATAAGAAATTGTATATGTGATGAATACAGAGAAGCATAGAAAGACCTATATTAACTACTGCAGAGTGAAATAAACAGAGTCCAGAAAAAAATATATATATATATATATAGTTACTACAACAACATAAATGGAAAGACCAATGACACACAAAAATAAAAAATAAATTTAACAAAATTATTACAACCAAACAGGACTAAAATGAAGAGATATGAGAAGAAACCCCCAAACTATACTTTCATGTAAGGTCCCTTCCAATTCTGTACTCTATGATGTCCTACTTACTCCTTTGCAAGGCTTGAGATTGAGTAAATCAATTAAGTCACTCCATCCCATCTAAAGTAATAAAATGTTACACCAACAGGTGCAAACACACACCAATTAATCAATAAATCAATCATAGGCTTTAGACTAAGTGTGAAAAACTTCTTGATCAATTATCTTTATTTTTCCCCTCCCCAAAGAAGGCTACAATTAAGTGTGTGTGTGTGTGTGTGTGTGTGTGTATACACACACACACACACACACATATATATATATATATACACACACACATACGCATATATACACATATATACACATATATGTGTATCTATGTTATGTAGAACACAGATATACACGTGTCTATATATAATATACAAAAATATATACATACATGTATGCAGATATCCACAAGCATACACACATACACTCAAAAGCATATATGTAAGATTGTATTATGCTTATTTCCACTTGTCATCTATTTCTCTGAAGGTGGATAGCATCTTCCTTCATAAGTCCAAGTCTTTCCATAGTTTTCTAAATCCACCAGCTCATCACTTCCTACACCACATCAATATTCCAACACAATCACATTCTATCTGGGAGATTGTCTATTTTTCCCCTAATTTTCTTCATTCCCTCTATTCTTGGCTACATAGGTTTTATTCATACAGGAAATATTTTATTTAAAATAATCAACATTATCCATTTTACACTTCACCATTGCTCTCACCTTATAATATGATTTAAGGTCTGATACAACTGAATTTAGTTCCTTTGCATCTTTTTCTTGGGTTTCCTTGAAGTTCCTGAACCTTTGTTCCTCCAAATGAACCCTGTTATTATTGTTTTTTTGGACTCAGTAAGATAATTTTAGTAATTTAATTGGGATGGCATTACATAAATAGAATAGTTAGGTAAAATTGTCATTGTTTTATTACATGATCTTTACCTACCCAGGCACAATAAATATTACTTCAATTATTTAGATCTAACTTTGTATAAAAGGTATTTTGTGTTTATATTCATATAGTTCCTCTGTCTGTTTTGGCAGGTATACTCTCATTTTTTTTACTGTCTAGTTATTTTATACGGTCTAAAACTATTGATTAATATGGCTGACACTTAGTGTAATTCCCCTATTTTTCTCTTTTGGGTAAATCTGATTTTAACTTGAATTTTGTCCAAGATCATGATTACTACCCCTGATTTTTTACATAATAAATTCTACTCCTTGTCTTTATTTTGTATTTGTGTGTATTTCTTATTTTTATAGCATTTCCTGAAGGCAACATATTGTTGAATTCAAATTTTTAATTTGCTGTTAGTTTCCATTTTATAGGTAAATTCATCCCATTCACATTTTAAACTATAATTATTTGTTGTGTATTTTCCTCCTTCCTATTTTCCTCACTATCCTTCTCATCCTATTCCTATCTCTCCTCACTCCTCTGCTTTACTTCTACCCTCTACCTTGCCCTTCTATTCCTTAACCTTCCCCTATTCCAAGAATCCCTCCCTTATCCATTCCCTCTACCCTATCCCCTTACCTTATTTCTTTCTGAATATAGTAGATTTTTATGCCCTTCTAAATATATACATATTATTCTCTTTATCCCATTCCCATTAATCTACACACCCTTCTACACCTTCCCCCTTATCCTATTCCCTATCCCTCCTTTATCCTCCTCCCCCTTCCCTATACCTTTACCTTCTTATTTCTCTCTGAATTTAGAAGTCTTTTCTACTCTTCTAGATATATATGTATTGTTCTTTCCATTCCTGATGAAAGTAGGGTTCTAGAACTACCCACCCTCTTCCCCTAATTCCTCTGTATCACTTCTTCCTCTTGTACCTCATTTGTATGAGATAATTACACTTTTCATCTTTGCCTAAATCACTTTGCTTTTTAGAATCACATCATACTCAGCTCTACCCCATTCCTTCTAAGTACCCAATTACTGACAATCTATATATAAAAAGTAAACAATTTGTCCTTATTGACAATTAATCTTTGATGCTTACGTTATTTCTTTGGGATCTTGTATGACAAATTTTCTATTAAATTCTGGCCTTTTTGTGATAAAATCCTGAAAGTATTGCAATTAATTGAATTTCCTTCTTTTTAATTCAGGATTTAACTTATCTTTGCTGGGTATGATATTTCAGCTGTAACCCCAGTCCTTTTGCTCTTCGATATATAGTACTCTAAAACCTTCAGTCTTTTAGTGTAGATGCTGCTAGGTCTTGAGTAATTCTAACTGTGGCTCTGCCATATTTGAATTTTTTTTCTTGTTGCTCATAATATTTTCTCCTTAACCTGGGAGTTTTGGAATTTGGCTATGATATTTCTGTAGGTTTTCCTTCTGTAGGTTTGATCTCTTTCAGGTGGTGATCAGTGGATTTTTTCTATTTCTACTTTCCCTTCTTGTTCTAACACTTCAGGATAATTTTCTTTAATTATTTCTTGTATTCTTGAATCTTTTTTTGATTATAGCTTTCAGCAGTTATATTATTCTAATGTTTTCTCTTCTTGATTTGTTCTCCAGGATCAATTGTTTTTCTTATAAGATGTTTCACGTTCTCTTACATTTTTTCATTCTTTTAATTTTGTTTTATTATTTCATGGTCTCTTATAACTTTGCTGGCTTTCCCTTGCCCAATTCTAATTTTCTTCCTTCAGATTCTGGATCTCCCAGTTGATTGACTTTTCATAATCTTCTTGTGTTTTCTTGGAACTTTCATACTTTTTTTTAAATTCCTCAATCTCTCTTATTTGATTTTTAAAGTCTTTTTTTGAGTTCTATGAATTCTTTTTGGGCAGGTGACCATTTGACATTATTCTTTGGGGAAAGGGAGGCCTTTTTTTTGCTTCAGTATCCTCTGAAGATGAACCCCAATCTTCTCTATTCCCACAGTAACTGTCTATGGTTGGGTTCTTTCTCCTTTACTTCCTCATTTAAAAAAAAATTCTTATCACTTGTTATTACAATCACCTCTAATCCTGGGGTATGGAGGATGGTTCCTCTGGTCTTTCTTGCTCTTATTTTTTGAGCTTTGTCCTGTGGCCAACCTCTGGACAATATGCTGGAAATACTCTTGTCCCTGAGAACCGTCCAGTGGCTATGACCTTCAGTTCTCTTCTCTGGCCTGGAACCAAGAACAAGAACTCAGATCTTCTTATAAGTGCCCACAACCAGCAGGGTCCTTGTACCAATGTTTCTGCACTCAGCAGGCATGTGCTGGTTCCTTCTGGCAGCACTGCTGGGTCTGGTGTCCCTTGTAAGCAGAGGTTCCCTCAATCTTCCCCCACTGAGACACCTTACTCTGCAACACTTTTCCAAAAGTGAAAATTCTTGTAGCTGAGGTTGAGGTAGCCTTTCAACTCAGTTGCCTCCAGGGCTCCTTGCTTGTCATTTCAGCCGAGTTAGCCTGGAGGAGTTTACACTTCACTCAGGCTGAACCTCTATCCTGGGATCTTTCTTGGGATCTTCTCCATCATCCCAGGAAGACCACTTCTCTGCCCCAACTCTTGTTTATTTTTGCCACTCTATGTTCACCCTGAGGAGCTATTTGTCTTGTTTGTGGAGGAAACTTGGAACGCTTAGAATTTTCTGACCTACTGTGCCATCTTCCCAGAATCCTTTCTCCTCTTTGATCAACTTTCATGACTTTACACAGGAAGGATGTTTGGATTGGCTGAGGAAACTTGATAACACCCTTTGGATCCTTGATGCAATGAGGGAGCTAATTTGTAACTCAATGTGAGGCTGGGTATCCTGGACAATTCGGATTAAAGATTGGTTATAAAGAAAAAAATCTTATCAAGGTACATGTTAGGCTTAACACTAGGCTCAGAATAAATTAATAAAGACTAATAAAAGTACTAAGTCATATTTAGTTGATTTATTTTTAACTGTAAATTTTAAATATTTTAATAAATATATGTTTTTAATATGTAGAAGTCTAGAAATTTTATGATTGAATACGGTGGGTTCAAAATCTTTTTACTTCAAAATGGACATACATTTCTTTTTTCCAACCACATGCCCATGAAACTGTACCTCATAAAATAAAACCTCTAATTCACATTGTATATTTATTTAGAGATTGACGATGCCCCTGGAAAATTTTAAGAGATAGTTGTTGTCATTTCCATTTTACAGATGGAGAAGAAATTGAGATCTCCCTTAAATCTCAATCTATGGTTCATTCTATGAGAGTCATCCATTAAATAGAGTTGAAAGAACACTTAAAAAGCTGTTTTAAGCTCCTGGTAGTGCTTTGATCATCCCAGTCTATTTTTATAGCCCCTCCTGACAAATTAAAGGTATTGCTTATCAACTGACTCGTACTGTGTATAGTGAAGACTAAAATCAGCTTCTAATAATAAGTCAATTCTTGCTTAGCTGCATGTACCCATTTTTTAAAAATTCAGGCTGTTCAGAAAGGTGTTTATTTTGATATGCAAAATCCAGAGATGAGAACCAGACATTTTATTCTCTATTATACATCATAGGAGCAATGCTAATATTCTTCCTTTTGTTTTCAAGAGATAATTCAAAAGTGGCTTATTAAAAATTACAATTGTTCTACATGTAATTGTATACTGCCATGAATAACAAGCACTTGTGCTTATATGTGAGCAAAATATGCCAAAGGAAGATAAGTCACAGTCAATCACGAGAAATACTAACTGAGCTCCTGAAAAATTTATGATTGGAAAATTTGCACTCAGGTGTGATTGCTAAAGAACTGACTAATTAATAAAGACTGAGATATTACTTTTTAAGAAGTTTGAGTTGTAACAGTGACAACTACTTTTAAGTGTTCCCAATACTGTAGACCTCTTCCTGTCTTGAATCATTTGATGAACTAGCCATTGCTTCAGATTCTTCAGATGGAGTCTGCCAAGGTAGTACATAGGGTTTGGTTGTCTTGTGTATTTTTTCTTCCCTTCTTTTCATCATTGCTCGATAGTGCTCTAGCTCCTCTTTTCTTTTTTGTTTTTTTTCTTGGGCCAGAAGTATCTCTTCTTCCTGAAGTCTAATCTGCTGGTCCTTCTCCCACTGTTGCACATAGAAAATTTGCTTTATTTAGGAGATTGATATAGGTGCAAGAACTATGTCAGAAAAAACTACTTTCACATTAAATGAATTATTCTCTGAGTATTTCTCAGACTATTAACAGTGACAGACTGGGAGGAAAATTTCCCTATTTTCAGAGCATAGGTTCTAATAATAGAGATTGACACTTGAGAAGGTGACACTTTTTGACAGTAAATGGGGATGTTTCAAGTGAGAATGAGTGCATTTCTTTTCTTTTCTTTCTTTCTTTTTTTTTTTTGAGGCAATCAGAATTAAGTGACTTGCCCAGGGTCACACAACTAGTAAGTGTCTGAGGCCAGTTTTAAACTCAGGTCCTCCTGATTCCAGGGCCAGTGCTCTCTATCCACTGTGCCACCTAGCTGCCCCTGCATTATTTTGATTTTAAAAAATCCTAGTCAATTTTAGCTTCTGAAAACTTTCTATTATTTTCTTAAGGAATTTTACACAGCACTGCACTATAAAAATTAAAGCAAGTTTAAATTTGGTTAGGAAAGCATCTAGATGCTTAGAAAGAGAATTCATTTTTTACTTTTTGTAAAGAATGAAATCATTCAATGGAAAAAAGCTGTATTTGGTAGAGAGTGGCAATTTTATATTTCTATATCCCAAGCCTTAGATAGCGATTTTTCCTATTTTTTTCTCAATGGTAATACTTGCCTAGAGGGAAACCCGGTAGAACTCATAAAAAATGTTGAAAACACTAATCCAAGTGACAAAGTAGCACCTAGTAGTACATTAATATGTAATGTTGAAGAGAAAATTGTAGAGCAGAGCAGACCTATATTTATTTCTCAACAACTTTGTTAAAGCAGCCACTTGGGATCACTTCAGTTGGTTACATACTTTTTATTGACAGTTGCAACCTGGCTTCTGGAAAATCCTTTGGGAACAAGACATGGAACAAGTATTAGACAGCAGAACCTGCACTTCGTTCCCAACATTGGGAAAAGTTTCTTTAAAAATGGATTTGTTGGCATCTTCTGTTTTTATTTCACTTTCCTTTCTAAATATATCCTTCCCCCGCCCTCAACCAACCCTTGTAACAAAGAATCAAAACAAAAAGGATAAAGATGAAGTTTCACAAAACCAACAAACGCAAAACCCAAGTCTGACAATATGTGTATTATTTTACCACGGTAGACACCCAAACATAACATTCTACAATGGTCTTTCACCTCCACAGATAAGGGAAGTGTATTTTCTCAACTTGTATCAAAGTTCCTTTTAGCTCTGAACACCAGGTTGAAAGGAGGAATGACTAATCCTGAGGGTTAGGGGTTAGACAGGCTGCATGGATTTTCCTGATAAGTCATGGGGAATTGGTCATGACCCTGGTTTTTGGTGACTCTCCATCCAAAATATCTAATGAAAGTGGGTCCATGCTACCTTGTAGTGAGAGATGATATTAATCAAATTGAGTGTAATAACATGGTCCTGAATTAAGTTAATAGGAATATATTGGTATTTCATTGTATCCATGAATACTTTTTTATAATTATGGTTACAATCTGCAATTTGGGAGATCCTTTCTTAGTATGCAATCACACTGTAGCACTGATACATAGCAGAGAAGAAAAATTTCCCTAGCTCACAGCTAAGTGCTAGGAAATGTTTATTATCTGAATTGGCTACTGGATGTATCCATCAACTCATCTTAATCAAAGTGACTAGTTAAACACAGAATCATCTGGAAGCAAAGTTTAAGGATAAGAGAACAAATTTGTTTGGGGCAAACATTGGTGGAATCAAGAGGCTCATACTTGGAGTATGAGTGATGGGACATTTAGGTTATAGTATACCTAGTCTAAATGGAAGACATTGCTAGTCCATCAAGAGCTGAACTAGTCAAAAGATTTTACTCAGAAAATTTACTTAAACAGAACAGCTAGAAATGGAAAGATAATAGGGCAAACAACTTCTAAGAGCTACCGAGAGGGTGAGGGAAATCCTAAGGCTTGAAACACGATGGAGGTAGTTTTGGGTCTAACATTGGAAAGATTATTTTCTTGCTAACAATTTGTGGACAGACAGTATAGGACAGAACATTTCAATATGATCAATAGGTTGAAGATGGAACACAATATGACAGAGCTGAAGGAACTTAGGGGGACATGCTTTGACCCAGGGTTTTGTATGCCATAAGGGCTAAGGAAGTAGATTTCAGAAAGGCAGTTGATGCCACCTAGTTCCACTAACAATAGGACTAGAATTGAATTGCTGTAAAGGTCCAAACTAAAAAGAAGAATGTGAGGTAAGAGGGAGATAAAGAAAGGGACAAATTTCCTACAACTGGTAAAGGACCAGAGTCAGATTCTAAAAAAACTTTGTAAATTATGGAATGTTAACCTTTTCCACCTGCCACTGTCCTTATTCTTCAGCATCCCACCCCTCTGTAGTATCTATCTCTAGAATGCTTTATAGAAAATACTAGTAAAGTATTTGGGACATTGGTATATTATTGGGGAGCAGAGGAAGGAAGAAACCCTGGGAGCCCTGTAGAATGAAGGGTTCCTGAAGTTTAGAAAGGCTGTTAAACAAGTACAAGGAGTCTCAGCTTAAGAACCTAAAAGAAGACAGTCACAAGCCAAGATCAAGACTTCTTGGTGGAAAAAATAGTGGGCTTACAGAATAGAGAAGGTTTCTCAAGTTCTACATTGACCTTATTGATTTTACTTGTGATTGATTAGTTGTAATTGATTGAGAACTCCTGCTTTTGAGACCAATGATGTAAAAATATTATTCATATACCTTTTTTCTGGCATGTATAGAAAGTCCTAAAAAAGACAGTCTCCTTCCCTCTTAATCAATCAACCAATCAATATATATTAACCACCTACTATGTGCTAGGTACTAGATTTAGCCACCCAAAAATAATTAATCCTCTGAGAGAGAGAGAGAGAGAATGATAGAGAAACAGAGGAAGATGGAGAGATAGAGTGCCAGGGGGTTATTGATAAGAGACAAGGACAACTTTGTTTGAAATATAAAGAAATTGAGGCCAAAATAATCAAGAAAATTTAGATGCAACTTGAAAGTTATGCTTCGTGAAGAAGCTGACAGATTTTGTGACATGCTTTAAATTATCTATACACACACACATACATACACAATCTATATCATATATAAACATTCACACATATGTGTGAATATAGGCTATATAGAATCTATATAAATATATTATTGATCTTACAGTATTTCTTTGATTGAAAGGACTTATTAATGTTAAATATCTAATGAACTCATAATATTTTGTTTTTATAACCAAAAACAATAATGTGTGATGATAACAGAACCTGTCCATAGAGAAAATTCAGACTTTAGATTATAGGAAGATTTCAAAATAGTTAAATGGTAACTCAGAGTCAAAATGGCAGTATGAGAAGAAGCAGTATAGCCCAGCTCCCCATCGTCCCTTCTCTACAACATCTGGGAAAGTGAGGAAAAAGTCACAGTGCGTTATTTTTCCAACCACCTAAGGTGGTTTAGAGAGACAGACAGAAGTCTATAGACACTGGAGACAAGGTCTGGCCAGGAGTACATGTAGAATACACGTAGTCTGGAGCGCTGTAGTTCCTAGGGGACTGAAAGAGGTTTGAGACTAGCAACCAGGGCAGGAAGTACAGGGCACAAAGAGATCCCAGAGTATCTCTAAACTGGCACTGGGTGCACAAAAAGTACCACCCAGCCACTCTTGTCTCCCACTACTCACTCCTAGTCCCAGATCCAGGGTGAAGAGCAGTGTTCCCAAGCATGGGCCCTGGCTGTGTACTGATCAAGAACAAGTTCCAAAACTTAGTTGTGCGCTCTAATCCCAGGAGCAGATCCACGATTCAGCTCTAGCCTTTCAATCAGCATGTAAGCCTGGTGCAATAATCAGGGATTGCTAGAAGAAGGCAAAGATGCTTGGCCTAGAAAAAGGAAAGTAAAGAAACATAGATACTTTCAAGTATCTGAATGGATGTCTAGTGGAAGACAATTTAGACTTCTTTTTCTTGCCTGAAGAATAGAGCTATGATCAATAATAGAAATTGCAGAGAGGAAGATTTCAGACACACTAGACAGAAGTATTTTCTAACAATTAAACCTGACTAAAACTACCTGAGGAGATAGGGAGCTCCTTATCATTGGAGGTCAAGTGAAAGCTATTAACTATTCATCAGGGATGTTGTAGAGGGGATTTCTATTCAGTTATGGGTTGGACAGAATAATCTTTGAGGTCCCTTCCAATTTCAGGATCCTATTATATAGAAAGCTGAGGAGAGAAATATGGGAAAATGAATAAAGTCTTGGCTTGGGGAAAGTAACACTACCAACAGCATTTCCCTCCCTGACAAAAATGCCTAGGAAACCACAAAGAACATGAATAGTGATAGAAATTGGCTTGGTGAGCTACCTGGTTAAGCATCAAGGTCCATCAGTAGCTCTTACTTTCCTAATTAGAGATCCTGGACCTTTTGGAACAAGTAAACAGCATACAGGTAATTGTAAATAACTTTTATAAAATGTTGTTCAGAATAAATTGCTATAAATCCCCTCAAATTACTGCTAGTCATATAAAGAGACCAAAAATGAAACTAATGATATAGGTCCTGGGGTGGGGAACTTTACAGGAAAAAAATATCCTGCCTTTATTATTTATAAAATAAATAGATCCACAACACTTGCCATTATATGTGGATAGTGTATGTGCCCAAGAAGAAAGAGAAAATATGTGGTTATTGGAAGCCACTGGTTTCTAATTGACCCGAAGATACTGGCTCTGATTTGAACTGGCTCTCCCCTGCCTCTTATACCCTCTGCATACTAAAGCTGTCTCAGTAACTGATTTTTGGCAAAATGAGGTTAGCCATTTTTATCTTTGACAAGTTTATAACATTACAAAAGTGTAGAGATCAACTGAAGTGGATGTTATATATTATATTTCATGGAAGCTAAAATGTCTTTGAAGAACTTTAATTGGAATCATAGTGAAGGGGTCTAACCACTCATATTCAGTACATGAATCTCTTTTTAGTTACAAGGTCATCTAGTCTCTGCTTAACTTCAAATGGTATCTAATCCCATTATTGGACAATTGTAAATATTGGGGAAATAGTGATCAGGTTAAACAAAGCTGGAGAAAATTTAAAAAACAACATGCTGATTGGCTCCACAAAGTACTGCTTTTATACCTTCCTAACTAATTCACTATTCCACTCACTACAGAACCTTTTCCAAAGCTTTTCATCCTCTTCAAAACTTCCACAGATTCCCTTAAACTCCCTTTCACCTGAGAACTTTGTCTTTTGTTTTACTAAAAAAACTAAGGTCATTTACCAACAGCTCCCTCTTCTCCACTCCTCCTCTTCCTATATCACTCAGATTCCTTTTGTCACTATCTTTAGACCACTCCTTTTCAGGCTCATTTGCTGGATCATCATTCAGGTTATACCTGCTGAGTGTCCCACAAGGCTCTGTCCTGGGCCTACTTCTTTTCTCCCTCTATACTATTACACTTGGGGATCTCAGCAATACCAATGGATTCAACAATCATCTCTGTGTTGATAATTCTCAAATCTACTTATTCAGTCCTAATCTTTCTGCTGATCTAGAGTTTCATATCTCCAACTGCCTTTCAGATATCTTAAAATTGGATGTCTAGTAGACATTTTAAACTCAATGTGTCCAAAATTGAACTTATAGTCTTTCTCACCCAAATCTCTCCTTGTCCCAACTTTCCTATCACTATGGAAAGTATCACCATTCCCTCAGTCATCTAGGTCTCAACATAGGTGTCATCCTTGACATTTCACTCTCTCTTTACCTCCCTCCACCCCATATCCAATCTGTTGACATGGCCTGTGGGGTTCACCTTCATAACATCTCTTGCATACATCACCTTCTCTCCTCTTACACTGCTACCACCTTGGTGCAGGCCCTTATAACCTCATGCCTATACTATTGTAGTAGCCTGCCATATTCCTACCATAAATTTCTCCCACTCCAGTCCATCCTTCACTCAAGTTATCCTGAAATTAGATAGGTCTGACCATGTTACCCACCTCCCCATTCAATGAATTCCAGTAGCTCCTTATGATCTCCAAAATGAAATATAAAATCCTCTGCATGACATTCAAATCCCTTCATAACCTGACACCTTTCTACCTTTCCAGTCTTCTTACACTGTATACTCTGCCATGGATCTATAATCCAGCAACATTAGCATTCATGATGTTCCCTGAACAAGACACCCTCTCTCTGTATTCTGGGCATTTTCACCCTCTGCCCTCCATGCCTGGAATGCTCACTCTCCTCATGTCTGCCCTCCTGGCTTCCCCGGCTTTCTTCAAGGCCAAGCTGAAATCTTTCCTTTTCCTATCTCGCTTAATTCTAGTTCCATGTCTCTATTGATTATTTCCAATTTATCCTGTACAGATCTTATTTGCACAGAGTTGTTTGCAGGTTGTCTCCCTCACTAAACTGTAAGCTCTTGAGGGCAGGGACTGCCTTCATTTTTCTTTGTGCTCCCAGTGTTTGGCACCCTGGCACATAGCAGATGTGTCATGACTGAGCTAGATGATTCAGTGACCACTCTTTCACTATCTCCTTTACTGGTTCTTCACCTAGGTCATGCCTACTAATTGTGGGGTCACCTAAGGTTCTTTCTTCAACCCTCTCCTCTCCTTGTTTTATATTATTTTCCTTGGTGATCCATCAGCTATTGTGATTTCAATTTTCATCTCTCTGCAGATGACTTTCAGGTCTGCTTTGTTTAGCCCTAACATCTCCCCTGATCTACATTCTTGCATCTCTAACTGCCTATTAGACATCTCAAACTGGATGTCCTCTAAGTGTCTTAAAGATATCTTAAACTCAACACGTCCAATGTTATTGGACATTATCTTTCCCCCCCAAAATACTATCCTCTTCCTTACTCCCTATTACTGTTGAGAGTACCACAGTCCTCCCAGGTACCCAGCCTCACAATCTAAGTGTTATCCTGGACTACTTATTCCCTCCCTTTATACGTATTCTGATGTCACATCCTGATTTTCACCCTTAGTAATCTTATAAACACTCTCTCTTTCCTCTCTCATTGCCATCACTTTGGTACAGACCCTCATCATCCCAAGCCTGAATTATTGCAATAGTGTGCTGGTTAGTCTCCCTACCTCATCTCTCCTCACTCCAGTGCATCTTCTACTCTGCTGTTTAAAACACAAATATGACAATTCCAATCTCCTATTTAATAAACTCCAGTAGCTCCCTATTGCTTCCAGGATCAAATATAAAACCAATTGGTTGGTTTTTTTTATAGACCTTTATATCCTAGCTGCTCTCTATTTACCCAATCTTCTTATATCTTACTTCCCTCCATGCATTCAGCCATTCAGTGACACTGGCTTCCTTGCTCTTCTTTGAACAAGACACTCCATTGTCTGATTCTAAGCACTTTCACTGGCTTTCCCACAAACCTGAAACTCTCCCTTATCTCAATCTTCTGGCTTCCTTATATTCCTTTAAGTCTCAGTTAAAGTCTCACCTTCTGTGGAAAGCCTCCTTAATTTTGGTGCCTTGCCCCTATGACTACCTCAACCTTTTCCTGTATATATCTTGTTTGTGTAAAGTTGCTTTGCAAGTTGTCTTCCTTATCAAACTGTGAGTTCCTTGACACTTGGGACCGTTTTATGTTTTGTTTTGTTTTTGCTTTTCTTTGTATCACCAGCGTTTAGTAAAATGCCCAGAACATGGTAGATGTTTAATAAATGTTTTCTGACTAATTGAGGATGCTATCCTTACAGGACTCATGATGATTTTCTCAAATTGGTCACTTGGGATTCTATATCTAATGCCTATTCTTACAGTAGGCTGCTAGGGAAGTAGCTCTATAGATTAAAGTATAGCTAAATCTAAATGATGTGGATAAGCATCACTTTGGTTTTTATCAGTAAATGCAATAATTTCTTCCTTTCTTTAGGAAGATGAACACAGTTAAATAAAATAAAGGAAAATATTAACCAGGGTCATAAGGTTGTGACTCCACAGCTGATACTATTCTGTTGCAAACCTCAATTTCCAAGTATTGTAGTAAGAACTTACCCATTATAGTTACCACTGTGCCTGTAAGTGCTTTAAAAAAAAAAAGCTAATGAACATTTTCTTCCCTCTTCCTCTGCTCCAAACCCCTATCCCCTCCAGAAATAAATTTTGGAGAAACTCATATACACATAGCACAATAGACAAATGCACTGATTTAACAGTTAGGTCTTTTTCTTCCCTAGCCCATTACATCTTCCAGGGAACAAAATGATTAACAACCTTTTTCATCTGTCAAGGACAAAAGATGGTCACCAGGCAGCTTGTTAACTGTTAAGGATTGGTATTTAGTTCAGAGGAAATCAAAAGAGTTAAAAAATTAGATTCTTCTCATAAATCAGTGCTAATTCAAGAAATAGAGTATGCTAGTATTTTACAAATACAAAAAGGCAAACTTTTCCATAATTTAAGAAATATATTAAAATGTATCAGTAGTATTGAAAAACAATTAAATTAGTAATGCATCTCCATGGTCAGGTTTTGTAATCCCAAATGTTTTCTTTATGTGGGCTGCATATAAAGTTTCATGTCTTAAAACTATACTTTCTCATTCAAGTCACCTTTATAGTACATACATACATACATATATATATATATATATATATATATATATATATAGATATATACATACATATATCTATCTATCTATATCTATATCTATATCTATATATCTATATCTATATCTATATCTATATCTATATCTATATCTATATCTATATCTATATCTATATCTATATATATATATATATATATATATATATATATATATCCATTGCTAGTTTAAGAAAGTGAATATTACCTGCTTTTCAACAATAGTTCTCAATGCCAGATCTGCACAGGTAACGATATCTGGATAGGGATGGACTATTTCTTTTTCTGGATATTTTTCCCTTCAGACACAAAACACAAAGCCCATGAATGTGCATATGCATTATTACTAGCATACTTCTCTGAACTATAACTCACACCTTAATGTTTTAATTACATAAAATAGGTATGAAGTACTTAGTGAATACAGTGTATTCCACTAGACCACAGATGTCTTGTTCAATCCAGTAGCTTCAAACTTTTTTCTGTCCTTATTTTTCTTTCATTATTAATTCTGATATGTGTGGTTTTTGCATTTGACTTGAATTAAATGACAATCAAAAGTAAAGCTCTTAAATATCTAGAAAAATATATACAAATTACCTAGATTTACAGAAAAATAAACTAAATAACCCAGTCTCAGAAGACAGGAAGTTGAATGAGACACCAGTGAACCACCAAAGAGAAAAAAAAAAGAACATATGGATTTATAACTGAGTTCTATCAAGCATTCAGAGAAAAAAAAACAATTGCAATAATATTGTGACTACAAGTAAACAAACAAAAATGGCTGTTGACAATTCTCCTAGTACAAGATCTTTCTTAGTCATATTATAGGATTAAAAAAATGATATCCTAATCAGTTCTGACAAGGTGATAAAAAGTTTTAAAAAGTATAACAATTATTTGAAATGAGGATTTATTTATGCTATTATTAGTGATGAGCCTTGCCCTAAGAGTAAATTTTGCCAGAGATATTAGATAATAATTTTATGAAGCCATCATGATTAGCAAAACTTTTACAAAACTTACCTTTATTGTTGAAAATGATATGTTTCCTATAAAAATTTTATATCTATGAACTAATAAAACTTCTAAATATAAATTTCTGAGTTATTTTAAAATCAAAGAGTTTAAGTGAGTTTTGGACTCATTTCTTTTATTCTTAGATTTTGTAATTTATTTTAATATCTTCAGAATTTCTCTCAGTACCCTCCCCTAATCTCTTTCCAGAAAGCTAGCCTACAAAAATATTTTTAAAGAAAAAAAATAGAGTAAGAGAATAAAAAACCAACAAAAATGATCAAAATATCAAAAAAGCTTGAAAATATATGCAATGTACTACACACATGAACCTCTCAACTGTGTAAAGGAGTAGGATTTTTATGTCTTCTCATATCTCTTCTTTGGAGACTCTTTAACTTCACAACATTCACTGTTGAATGTCCTGTGGTTATTCTTTCCACTTACATTATTATAGTCACTGTGTGTAATGTTTTCTTGGCTCTGCTTACATCATTCTGCATTAGATCATGGAAATATTTCCATGTTTCTCTGTATTTATCATATTCATAATTTCTTTTAACATAGTAATATTCCATGACATTCATATACCACAATGTGCTTAGTCCATAAACAAAGATAATCTACTTTGTTTCTAACTCTTTGCTGCTACAAAAAGTGTTGCTATAAACATTTTGGTGAATATTGGCACTTATTTTCTTATCAATTTCCTCCTTGGCATATAAGTCTGATAGTTAAATCTCTGGATCACAGAATATGGGACATTATTGTCACCTTAATTATATGATTGCTAATTGCTTTCCAAAATGGTTCTATGATTAATAGTTCCATCAATATCACTTTTTTTTGCCTAGCTTCCCTTCCTCTTTAATATTGACTATTTCCATTTTTGGTCATCTTTGCCAGCTTTCAAGGCATGATTTTTCTTATTCCTGATATTTCTGGTAATATTAGCCTTTCCCCTTTTATCTTCCTATTGCTCACATTTTGACTCTTTCCCCTTTGATTACAGGTCTCCTAAGAGCTGGACCCCAAAACTGTCTTAGCCTCCTTTCATACTGAAGAATTCACTTTTCATCATCACTTGTCTTAGCTTGCAGCACCTTCCAATAGCTTACAAAACAACTGATTGACATGAGAGAAGATGAAAGTCTATTAGCCCAATTTCAGCTAAAAACCTTTCCATAAATTGATTGAAAGAAGGATTGTTATTTGGTAGGAGCATTTAATTATCACTTTTTGCTTTTTATTTGTGTTTCAATATTATTGTGTTCTATCTTTTTCAGCTATATCATCATTAAAACCAGACTTTTAAATATCATTTATAGTAAGCACTTTAAATTACAATATTTGTTAAAACAAGCTTTTTCAAAAATAATGGCACATATCCACATTGCTCTCACTAAAATATTAACTATTATTAACATATTAATTTGGTTTAATTGTAAGATAAACTTACTTTAAAATACTATTATTATAGTTTAGTGAGAACAAAACATATTTGTGCCACCAATAAGAGAAATTAATTTCAATAAAATTTTTAAATAAATTCGTTTAAAATGTTATTTATTTTAGTTTTATCTCAGCTTTTGAAAAATTCTTGTATATGTTTATAATGAATGAAATACATTTTTAAATAGTACATTGCATAATTAATGTATTTATATATTATGTATTTTACGTGGATGTCTGTGTGTGTATGTGCGTTTGGCGTGTGTACTCAGAAAAGTTTTAATAATGCAGGTGCACAATTGAAACAGTTTAGAGACAACTGATCTAAAGCATATATTATATTCTAATCTTGTGCAGAGGAGATTGAATTGTATACATTGTATAAATAGCCACATTGTATTGCATACACAGCATATATTGCATACATAGCCACATCGCTCTCACTAAAATATTACCTATTATTAACTAATCTTGTGCAGAGGAGATTGAATTGTATACATTGGACTTCAAATTAGTTCATTACAACATACAGAGTATTATTTTCTAGTATAATGTGATAAAAATGTACTCCCTTGGAAAAATAACCCAACTTTTCTGCATTTCTATTGCCTTATAGGCAACAAGGTGACTCCTTAGTGCACAGAAGTCGGCCTGGAGTCAGAAAGACCAGATTTCAAATATGGCCTCCAGCACTTCCTAGATGTGTGTCCCTGGCAAATCGCTTAAACTTCTGTCTGCCTCTGTTTCTTCAACTGTAAAATGGGCATAATAATATCTCCTATCCCTCATGATTGTTTCAAGAACTTAATGAGATATCTGTAAAGCACTTAGCACAGTGTCTGGCACATAAAACTATACAATAAAGTCTAATCATTTTGGGGTTAAAAAAAGACCTTAGAGATTATCTAGTCTAACTGCTTCATTTTACAGAGGAATAAATTGAAACTCAGTGAGTCTAAGTGAGATAAAGGTACAAGGATTGCATATTCCTGGTAGGGGCTGTAAGGACCATCCCATAGATCATACACTGGAACTTTATTGACAACTTCTGGGGATACCAAGGTCTCAGCACTGAAAGACTTGGTACTTTGAGATGATGAACCAATTCACCTATTGAGCAGAAAGGGTGGCTGACACAAAGAACCTTTCAAATGGAGTCACCCCACCTTTAGTTCTTCTAAGCACAGAGGTAACCTTCAAGCACGTCCCTACATGGATGAAGACAGGGTTGGTGCCCTTTCCTGACCCTGGCAAAAGTAAAGGGAATAGGCATAGTAACTAAAAGTATGTGTGGACTTAAACAAGCCTGAGCCTAGGCCTTGGACTCCTGGATACTGCTTCTGTTTTATTTCTTTTTCAGTGTAGGGGACTGAACTGCAAAACCAAAAGAGAATGTATCCAGTTTTAGAGGCAATCTTGTAAGTTTGAGATGTCCAGACACTCTGGGTCATTTGGCTGGAGCTGAATGGTAGCAGAGGAAGTTTCTTCATCGGAGAGGGTGATCAGAAACAAAGAGAAGGAATTCAATCCATGACCAAGCTTACCAAAAGACATGGGTAGAGAAATGAAAAGGGAATATGTATTTGTTAAGCACCTACTCTATGCCAAGCATTGTGCTGTTGTTGTTGTTGTTGTTTGTGCTTCATTCTCAAAGAGGACCATGGTAGCAGGAAGGGTGATGCCATGACTTGCAAGTGAATTAAATTTAAGCGAGGGAGGGCAAAGTCACCATCCTCACTTTCTCCTCCAGAGCCACCTGGGTCCTGTGGCAATCAATAAATCAGGATAACTGGAGATGGTCCCGGATACAGTGAGAGACGTTGGCCAGCACTTTAAAAATATCTTATTTGATTTTCATAGTAATCCTGTGAGGTAAGTGCTATTATTATTCCCAATTTACAGTGAGGAAACTGAGGCAGACAGAGTTCATGACTTGACTAGGGTCACAGAGATAAGAAGTGTCTGAAACGAAATTTGAGCTCAGGCCTTCCTGACTTCAGGTCCAAGACTCTACCCACTGCCTATGGACTTTAGGGGAAATTATTTGGACAATGCAGAGATGAGCTGCTTATTGAGCAGTCCTAAAAATTTCTACATGCTCTGAAGTTTAAATCTCAACCACCTGAGAGAGTATAACAGTAGTAGTAATTTACTACACACTATTTTACATCTTTTATCAATGTACATATGTGCATCTTTATGTTAAATGTTTATTTTATATGGAAGAAATAAAGAGCTATTCTAATGTAGATTTGTAGTGTATATTGAATACTTTTCTACTCCCCTTTTTGGGGAGACCTTTGATATGAGCCCTAATCTAAGCTTTAAAGAATTTTCCCTGGGTCTTCAAGGTGGGGGTGAAAAAAGTCAGAGACAATGGCAAGAGACTAATGCCTCTCTTTGGAAGTCAAGCTCCCCTAAGAGGGAACCCAGTCCTTTTATGAATGGACCAAGGTTAAAAACATATCCTGGATGGAGAGGGAGAGGGCACAGCAGGCCACTTCCCCTGAACCCAGATGTAGGTTATTGTTACATAAATTAGGAAAGTTTTCTATTGTCAATCATGTATAAAGAGAGGATGTTTGGGAAATTTTTCCAAGTATAAAACAAACTTTAGTAAAAGGGTGGTAGTGTTGTTCATAGGTAGCAACTCTAAGTTTTCTTTCACTTTATAAATTAAAAATGTTTAATTTACTTGTTAAATTTCTAGGGACCCATTTAAGTCACTTTTTCTAAATTTCTCTTTGCTGATTTTCTAACTGGATTTTATATTAGTTTTTCCTGAATTTATTTGATTTTTTAAACTTTATTTTCCCAGGGTTTTTCT